GGGTGCCATGCACCCCAACCCTCTGCTGCAAAAGCCACCGCTTCCCTTGCACCTGCAGGTCCCCGGCCACTGCATGCCCCAGGGACACGTCCCCGGTCACGAGACGACCCAAGGACATGTCCCCAGTCACTGGGATCCCCAGAGACACTTCCCCGGGCAGCAGGCACCCCAAGGACGTGTCCTCAGCCGCTGGGATCGGGATCCCCAGGGACATGTCTCCAGCCACCCGGCACCCCAGGGACACATCCCTGGTCATTGAGAGCCCCAGGGATGTGTCACCGGTCACCAGGCGCCCCAGGGACATGCCCCTCGTCACTGAGAACCCCAAGGACATGTTCCTGGCCACCAGGCACCCCAAGGACCCATCACCAGCCGCCAGGCACCAGAGGGACACAATCTCGGCCACCAGGCACCCTGAGGATACGTCCCTGGTCACCAGCTGTCCCAGGGACATGTCCCCAGTCACCAGACACCCCGAGGAGATGTCCCCAGTCCCCAGTCACCACAGGGACAGGTTCCTGGGCAGCAGATACCCCAAGGACATGTCCCCAGCCACCAGACACCCCAGGGACCCATCACCGGTGACCAAGCACCAGAGAGACATGTCATCGGCCACCAGGCACCCCAAGGCCACATCCCCAGCCAGCGGGCACCCAAGGGACATGTCCCCAGTCACTAGGCTCCCCAAGGAGAAGTCCCCAGCCACCGGGCACTGTAGGGACACACTCCTGGCCACCAGGTACCCCAACATGTCCCTGGCCACCAAGTGCCCCAGGGACCCATCACCATTGACCAGGCACCCAAGGGACACATTTCTGGCCACCAGATACCCAAAGGACATGTCACCGGCCACCAGGTACCCGAAGGACACGTCCCCAGACACCAGGCACCCCAGGGACACATCCCCCATCACCAGGCACCCTGAGGAGATGTCCCCAGTCACCGGTCACTGCAAGGACATGTTCTTGGTCACCAGGTACCCCAAGGACCTGTCCCTGGCTGCCAGCGCCCCAGGGACCCGTCACCGGTGACCAGGCACCCAAGGGACATGTTCCTGATCACCAGGTACCCTGAGGACATCTCACCAGCTACCAGGCATCCCAGGGACACATCCCCAGCCACCGGGCACCCAAGGGACACTTCCTCGGTCACCAGGCACCCCGAAGAGAAGTCCCCAGTCACTGGTCACCAGAGGGACATGTTCTTGGGCAACAGGTACCCCAAGGATATGTTCCTAGCCACCAGGCATCCCAGGACACATCACTGGTGACCAGGCACCCAAGGGACATGTTCCTGGCCACCAGGTACCCCAAGGACACGTCTCTGGCCACCAGACACCCAGGAGACAGGACCCCAGTCACCGGGCGCCTCTCGCCGGCATTCAGCGATGGGGCCCTCACGCCACAGCGGGTGGCCGAGGACCTGGAGAAGGACC